ACTGCCAGTTTGTCTTTTTAATATCCAAACATTTCCTGTTTATTCCCAGTACTTTCTGTGCACAAACAGGAAAATAGAAACAAAGAATGTCATTCACAAAAATAAACAATGAATGATGAAGAATCTGCTTCTAGACCTGCTGAAAGAGAAAAGACAAGGGGAAACACAAAAATACAACAAGACCAAAATATCTCTGCACCAATAACATGATGATATTTAAAAGTAACTATTTTTGCTGAGAAACACACAGTAATAATTCACAGGGCATTTAGTGCCAACCACAGCCACCATGCAGGTGAAGTGTTGAAAATGCCCAAGTCCATCCTTGTGAGAGCACCATGTGAGCACCTGTGTGTGTATACACACTGGTATATGTAAGGTTTCTCTATGGGAGTGTCCAATAGTGAGTGTGAGTGGCCACAGACCTGCCCCCAAAGACATGTGAAACATGGAGGAGTTACAAGCCCCAGATAGGTCTTCCCGAAGCGTAGGAACCCCAGGGAGACTGCCCCAACCCCCCTCCCTAGAGATGCAGAGGATTAACCAGAGGGTCGCAATCAGCAGCCACAAGAGCCCTGGGAGATAGCAACTGCAATCCCCCAGGCCCGCCCACCCCAAGCTGGCCGAGCTTGGACCACAACGACCCAGGACTCAAGGGCGAACAACCCCGCCAGGGACCCGACAAAGTCCAGGGATCCAGACCCACCCCAGGCAGCCACCAAACACAGTGTGTGTTATGTTTAAACTGAGTAGTCAAAATTTTGAAATGCAGAGCTAAAAACTTTGATTGTTACCAACCTTGAATTCAAAGTACAATACGGCTGCTTGGTAGCTGCAGAAATATACTATTTATCTCAAAGCACACAAACACAAACACACACACACACAGACACTGTTTTTGATGATTTCTTAACTAGATATGTTCCAGCTCCCTGAAACCCAGCTTAGAAACAAGCAGGGAAAGAAAATGAATGAATGAGTGAATGATGCCACAGTGTTTGAATGCATAAAATTCAGATAATAGTCTGTATAATCTGTTAGGGCTCTACTGATAACTACAGACTACTACTGATTTCAGTAGATTTCTGGAGGTATAGTATGGTGTGCATTAACCTCTGTGAGATTGTGTGTGTGTGTGTGTGTGTGTGTGTGTGTGTGTGTGTGTGTGTGTGTGTGTGTGTGTGTGTGTGTGTGTGTGTGTGTGTGTGTGTGTGTGTGTGTGTGTGTGTGTGTGATCCACACTAACTGAAAGCCGACATGAATCAAGCTACTCAGATGAAAGATGATTCCCTGCCAACGGCTCCTTGAGCATCGAGATGCTGCAGGACTGTGAGTTCAGCTGCGATTCAGCATAAATGCTAAAATAAACGTATAAATCTCGGGGGTGGGGGGTGTCACTATTCATCATGTGACCTCTGAGAGCACGAGGCAGGTGTAACCAGGTACGGCTGATAAAGAGTTTCCAACGGGGAAACACTGACGCTGATGCTCAGGTGGTTTTGTGACATTAGAAACCTTCTGATGTCATGAAATAATGTAGATTTTATTTTTACTGTGACGCTTCAACCCTCAGAGCTGAATATTGATTCTCAGAACAGCTTTGCCTTTTATAGAAAAGGTGAGAAGGATCCATCCACCAGGGGTCACACAGAAAGCAGCTGACCTCCGTGTGTATTAGGAAGATTGATTGTTTCGATTTCAAAAGCAGCGAGGATTCGTTTGACTTTGACATCAAATAGTTTGAGACCTTCAGATGTTTTAAGCTTTTAAAATGAGATGCATGTGGAGACATGGGAGTGGATAAGTCAGTGACCAATCATCTAAAGACAGGAGGGGTGTGGGGTTTGACCTTCAGCAGGAGCGACACTGCATCGGTATTCCTGATGGGATCCTGAAGACATTCCCTACCCCCTCCCAGAAAGAAAATCCCCCAGAGAGGAATCTACCGGAGCTCCTACTGCAGTGGTGAAAGGCTGGTTCATCATGAAGATAATCCAGCATATGAACAGCAGCCGGGAGGTCTATAAACCCCAGTGGAGCTATAAGAAAACAGAAATGGTTGTAAATCAGCTGTTTTGTGCGTATCGGGCTAAGTATCGGAGCAGTTATGAATCACGTACAAACACTTTTATGACATATTTACATCTCACTGAGCAGGACCACTGGCCCTGTTTGTCATTCAGTCAAATTTCTCATGGACCACTGCACGGTTTTTAAAAATAAAATAATTTAATAATTAGATGGAAAGCCCTTTAGCTCACTGGCATTATTTCACCAGGAACTGATGATTAGAGCGGCTAAAGTAACAATAAAAGTCAGAGACTTTGTGGAGAAGGAGCGTGTTCCCAACCTCTACGTTATCTTTATTTCCTCTCGTTTCCGAGGGACAACTCAGATGTAAATAGAAAGAGGAGGAAGTGACACGCCCTGTTCCTGCAGCTGTTTTCACCTGGAACTTTATTTTTCCAAAAGCGAAACTAAAAGAGGAAATAAATGCTTGTGAGTCTATTCTTCACCAGGTGAAAGTGGAGCTTGTCACCAATCAACTTCCGTCACAGCCGTTACTTTTTACACGTCTGTTTATCGTTAAAGCAGAACAATTCTGATATTCCTACTGGGAACGCTGGTCTGGAACATAAGCAAACTTCGCTTACTTCATTCTTACATAATGCAGCTTTAAAGCCTGAAATAATAATAACAAAAACACCTATGAGGAGTTATAAAGTCACATAAATGTTTATACATTTGTGTTTTTGTGATCTCTAAACTGTTATTTCTTTATTATTAATAAATCACACTGGAAATCAGTTGACGTGAAGCCTAAAGGTTTCTGACTTCAGTGAAAAAAGAACATTTTCAGGTGAACTTGACTGAAAATGGCTGTTGCCGCTAACCCACGTTAGCAATGATGAAGCTGATGTGGAGGTGGGGAACTGGACCACGAGGAAAATGATTTAATAATTCAAGCTATTCATCTCTCACTTATTACCTTTCCCACAGGAAGGAGAAACATTGATGCAAACTTTCATCACCTGCAGCGATTGGATCTTCTGTGCATCGTCTCTGAGCTCCATGTGCAGCTCTGCAGCTGCCGCGTGTCCACGCAGCGTCGGCAGAGCGTTAATTAAACTGAGCTGTGATTTACAGCACCTGAACGCAAACAGGTCACACAGACTCAAACAGCTCCCATCATCCTCTGGGGCAGAGCAGCATGTTCAGGATTAATCACTCCAGAGGTCAGATCATCAGACCCGCTCCAGCTCTGCAGCTTCAGCCAGATGTTAGCAGTGAAAGAGAAACGCGTTTAGCAGCCGTGAGGAAGAAAAAAACCTTCATTTGCTGTCTGTTGAAATGATCCGACTCTTTCAAGAAAGTTGAGAAATGTTCAGTTATTGTTGGAATGATGAGCCAGAAACTTTGAAAGGAGATCCAGATGAAGAATAATAGATCACAGTTTAAGCTAAAAGCAGGAGATGTTTGTTCAGAACGAAAACAAGCCAGACTGACAAGAAATCCATCCACCCATCCATGATGGCTTCTCCCAATCTCTGAAGACCTCAGGAAAGAATTGACCAGGAAGACCATCCAGCTGACTTCTGTCAACGAGAAGGAGCACAACTGCTTGTCAGGAGGTAGAGATCTTACCCGTTCCCTCACCCTAAGACCCACATAAGCTCTTTTCTCACCGGGCAAACGCTCAGTTATTGATGCTTTCTCGTCTCTATCTGAGGTCTTCGTGTCCTCACACACCATCGAACCCTCAGCGCCGCTCGGACCCGGATGCTGCTGAGCGGTGCTGCCAGCCAGCTGGCGCTCCTGCCCGTGTTCCTGTCGGCTTCCTGCTTGTAGCTTGCAGAGTAACTTACCTGTCTGTGATCACCCAGCACTCTGGATCCGCACTTGGGTTTGCCGACACACTACCATGGCCTTTCCCTGTGGTCACATGATTCCTCCTCTCAGGAGTCATAGGAGTCAATAGTGGCTAGCTGACATGCTGGCACTGGAGTCTGCTTCCAGCACATTTCCTGTATGTTTTAGATCATGAACTCTGCAGATTTGTTTGATTTAGTGATGAACGGCTCCTGTAGAAACTAATGAAGGTTGAGGAGACATTCCAGCTGTTAAATGAAGGTGTTAAAAACACAAACGCACAGCAAGGAGAGTTTCAGTTTCGGTTTTGTGACATTGATTTAATAACAGTCTCTAGAGGTGCTAAAATCAAGCAAAAACTGCAACGTCTCCCATTAAGCAACAATCCACGTCTCATGACCTGCAGATTGAGGCCAGTTACCATCATCACTGCAGATGGTCTGTTGGCCCATCTCTCTTCCTTCCCACTATCAGAAGATACTTGAACTCCTGAACTAGAGGCAAAGACTTGTTCCACTTTTTTCCAGTCCAGAGACCCGGACCTCTGACTTGGAGAAGATGACTCGGAAGTGCCCCAGAGCAGCTGAAGGCTTGAAAACACCAACAGAAACTTTGATGAGAAGATGAGACCATGTGGTTCTAAGGGGCAGAAGTAGCTCTGGAGGCGGAGCAGAATGTCCAGTAATCAGAGGGTTGCAGGATCGATCCCGGCTCCAACCAGAGAATGCTGATGTTGTGTCCTTGAGCAAGACACTTCACCCGCCTTGCCAGCTGGTGGTGGTCAGAGGGTGTGATCAGCAGCCTCGCCTCTTTGCCAGTACTCCCAGGGCAGCTGTGGCTGCGATGTAGCTCCATCAGGATGAGAGATCAACCACGCAGACCCGAAGAGTCCCTCAGTGGCTTGTTAAAGATCACTAATGATGTCAGAGCCAACTTAATAGACCAGGTGTGTTCCAGCGCTGATGGGATGCTTTTGTTGTCTTCACTCAGAGCTGAAGATCCAAGAGTAGAACCGACCTCCATCTGATCTGAGCCTAAATGTTCCAAATGATCTGGAACAGCAAGTTCTTCACTGCAGCAGGAAAAGTGCGAAGAGTTTTAAACTGAGATGATCTCAAGAGTCAGACATGAAACCTTTACATCAGTTTTATTATTGAAAACAGTCTCTGTGGGCCTGGAGAGTTAAATATATCTTAAAAGTTTAATGAAACCAAAAGTCTGAAACCAAAGCTACAAACTGCATGAAGACAGAAACACAGCATGCTTATGTAGCATTTTTGTGATGTTGGAGAGTTGGAGGATGGAGCAAACAGTCCAAATTTAGACAGCTGGATGATAGAAGAGCAGTGAAGCTGTCAGGATGCCAGGATGATTCCTGCTGCACTCAGAGAGGAGGAAGAGGAGGAGGAGGAGTCACAACCTCTCAGCTTTTTGACGTGACAATTCAGAGGGAAGTAATGACCCAGAGGAGACCTCGCTGGAGACTGAAGGAGAAATGCATAAGCTTCAGAAAAAGTTTGGACTGAAGTCCTCTGGGCTCAGAGGAATAGCTCTGTGATCAGAGCCTGGAAGGAAATGTGAGTCTGCTAGGAGGAGAAATAAACTCAGAGTCAGGACACGGGACGTGGGTAGAACCTTGGTGTCCAACAGACAACACACATCTGTACAATGGAGAATTCAATCCACTCAAGGTGAAATGGACAAACGGTAAAAACTGTGTTCTCCGGCAGCTGGATCCAACATCATGACTCTGGAATTATCGGAACACGACTCGCTTCATCCTGATCCAGACCAGAGAGCAGCAGGAGCATCCTGGCAGATTCTGTGCAGTTTGGATCACGGTTCTCTGATGAAGAGATTTTACAGGAACATCTAAAAACCAATACAGAGGGAATGGGTTCTGGACCCGCCTGCTGCAGTCCTGACCCGTTTTACTAAGACATGGCTGAGGAAGAGGAGGAGGTGGTTCTGCACCGCCCCGGGTTTAGGATTCCTGGTACTGTTGAACACCTTCAGACATCGCTGGACTTAACAGCTGATCCATCTTATATGAGTGGGGGGACATCAGGGTCATCCACAAACCCATCAGAGGCAGCAGGTGGTCTGGTTCCGGTTCTGGATGTTTCCAGTGGACTCGCTCTGATGATGCTGGTAATATCAACAGATGAGCGCTTGCTGGGATCCACTTCCAGCCACTCAGAAACTTTATTCTTCCTGTGGAAGAAAAAATCAGAAGAAACTCTCAATATCATCATCATCATCATCATCATGGTGTAGGTCTGCTCAGTTCCTTCCCCAGATGTTCTGGATGAAGCCACATCTGCACCCTGAGATCCCATCTGAGCTGGAGACCATGGGGTGAGTGAACGTGCTGCTTTTCCAGGAATGGTGAGACTGCTCTAACTGAATCTGAGCAGCAGGAGGAAACGTCTTCATTACTCTGAATTCTGACACTGGTTTATTAACACACAGATGTACAGAAAGATCTCATCCTCGTTCCCTGGAGATAACTCTGCAGGAAAATTACAGAAACTGGGAGGAGAGGATCATCTACTGGTGGTGGTGAGACCTGAAAGAACCAGATCCTGGATCCATGCAGCTGAAACGGGAAGGTGTCCGGGTTCAGCTTTAGGGAATAGGAGAGGAGGTCTAGGAGCAGAGCTCCTCCAACTCAGCTAAAATGTTTCAGCCATCTCCTTCTAGGGAGGTGAGCAGGAGACATTCACAGAATTCATTGGATGGACTGGACATCCTTCCTGGTCTGAGATCTGGGATCCACCAGTAGGATCTGGAGAGTGCTGCTGAGGAGAGGGAGTTCTGGGTTTACTTCTGGACCTCGGATTCCTTCAGACCTTCAGATCTTGGATTTGTGGAAAATAATGGATAAAAAACTAAAGTTGTAAAAATAACAATTATAGCAAAGGCTTCTTTCATCTAAAACAAAAACAGGTGAAGGTTTAGAACAGGAACCAGGATCCAGTACAGCTCCTGAAGGTGTCCGAGCAGTGAGCTGCAGACACAGCCGCGCTCTGGAACCATTTGGTGGTTTAACCCCCAATCCAACCCCTTAATGCTGAGTGTCAAGCAGGGAGGCATTGGGTCCCGTTTTTTCCAAGTCTTTGGTATGACCCGACCAGTAATTGAACCCTGATCTTCCCAGTCTCAGGGCGGACCCTGTACCACTGGGCCACTGAGCTGGCGTTGGGATAAGAACCAGACAAAACCAGTAGCATGGAGATGTCACGTCCTTCCAGAGGAGCGTAATTTTTGTTAACGAGTCTGCAGCGGCGAGAGAAATCACACCGGAGAGCCTAAAGGTTCTTCAGAACGCTGGTGATGAGTCCAGCTCATTCTGGTATTCCTCATCAGGTGGACTCAGTGCAGAACTCCCCTGGTGACTCACCTGGTCATCATGTCACTGATGATGATAAAGAGAAGCTTCATTTCCTCAGTTCAAGCTTGACCTCTGACCCAGGATCCAGCCTCTTCAGTAACCATCTAGCTTTTTGACTTATTTGATTGGAATAAAATCCCAGCTGTGAGTTTAGGATAGCGTTTGATATTCCATCGTTTCATAATTAAATTCTCTGCTTATCTCAGACCTGATGGTGTCCTTTGGATCCATTTCCCCCCGCCGGCTGCAGGGCGTCTGATCTGTGGGGGAGCCAGAGGTCAAAGGTGGCTCTAAATAATCTGTATAGATGCCATAACTCAGCGGCTGCAGCGCTGCTCACCTGTCACCTTGCCGCAGGACTGGAGCAGCTTAGCATTTTTATCAGGTGGTTAATTTGCAGGTGCAGGATTGGTCTGTGGCTCTTTATCGTGTTTGATGGGGCCAGCTGAAGGACAGGAAGTGCCTTCGTCTCATGAAATGATGATGATGGTTTGGTGATGGGTGCGGCTCCAGGCAGGAGCTCAGCTCTGTGAGAGGCTGATGGTTCTGAAATCTTTAGGGCATCCATGCTGGACATCGTCTGTGCTGATGGATCTGATGAAGATGCTCTGTGTGACCTTCAAGTAGAGAACCAGACCTATCTGTCAGACTCGGTGTTTGACAATCATCCACCCTTTTCTTCCAGTTTGTCCAGGTGTTGAGGTTAAATATTCAAGAAAAAGCAGACACCCTTCTTATCAGCACGGCTCTCCAGCTCCTCCTGATGGATCCCAAAGTGGTCCAAGACCAGAGAAGATATGAAAACCCTCCAAGGAGATCTGGTTCAGGAAAACCTCCAAAGGAGGAGAACCAGGAGGCCTGATCAGGTACCTGAACCACCTGAACTGACTCCCTTCGTTGAGGAGCAACAGTTTTGTCTGACCCCTTTATCATGTAGAGGCCTCTGATCTTCTATAATGTTCCTGCAGCAACATCAGAAGGACCTCTGGTTCCACGTTCTGATCTCAGCATTATAAAGTCAGACGCTTTTCAGAACAACAGGAAAAACTCCAGCAAACAGAAAACACCCAGATGTTTCTGACATTACTGTGGGAAATGGTGATGCTGCAGCTCTGGCCGAGTCTAGGGGGAGGGAGAGCACTATCAGCTCCTCAGCAGGTGAAATAAATCATGCACCAGCTTCAACGTACAACAGGCCTGTGCAGTTAGGACCACAGGGACCTGATATGCCAGAGGTGTAAACTCTGGCTTCTCTTAGTTAGTCTGGATTGCAGTGACACCTTTATTTTGTATTCATTCGGATTAAAACCCAGATGATCAAATCTGAGAACAGACCACAAAGCGGCAGATTTCTCTACCTGTTCTTCTCCGTCGAGCAACTGCTTGCAGACGCTCTGCGCGGCCGCTGGACGGCTTTGGTCACTTTGATTTCACCTTCAGCCTGAAAGAACGCAGAATTTAAAAGGAGAAATGTTTGAAAATGGCAGCAGTGCTTCGGTTTCTCAGCAGTTATTGTCTCTGTGGAGCGGGGTGATTAAACCTGCAGGTTTACCACCTGTCTCTGTTTATAGCCACGGTTAAAAGTTCCTTCTGGTGTAAAATCCTCATGTTCAGACACGTCCAACACAGAGGCTCGGTCCAGCTTAAACTGGCAGGGTTAGGAGTCACATAGAGACCATATGGATGCTTTAATGTTTACAGTGTAAAACAGGATTCAGAAAGACATCACAAAACAGTACTAACCATACTGAAATACAGAGATATTTTATAATAAAATGTATTTATGTGTGTTTAAATAAACCCCTAACACCCCTAAACTACCTCACAGACTATCCGTACGTTAACATTTGGCTGCAGCAACGTCCTGACCCTGGTTCAGGTTTACAGGTGTGACTGGAGAGAGGCTGTACCAACCCGCGGCATCGTCAGAACCAGGTGTCCGGTGGTTTGGGACCTCTGAGCGGTCGAGCTGTCAGGCTTCACTTCAGCGGGCAGAACCACCTGAAATATCTGCAAGTAAATTATTCAAAGCTTTAATTAGTGAGATTAATGCTGCAATGTGGTGCTGACGCTGTCCCCGTGTGTCAGATGACTTTAATCATTAGAAGGTCTTTTTATAGAAATACTTCCCAGACCAGAATAGCTCCGAATGAGAACAGTAGCATCAATCACCGCGGCAAAATCCAATAGAAACTGGGTTGATTTATGCAGGAGGACTAATTGGGCTTAAAATGACACTTTTCACTTTTCTCTGCTTTACTTCATTTTTAACTGAGCGTATTTAATGGCTTCTGAGCTGAGAGGAGGAGATGATGAAGGAAACCTCCCAAACTTCAGCTGGTGTGATGTACGCTCGTCACAGAATCAGCTCCTCTGAAGGAGATCATATTAAAAGAGACTTTTTAAAAGCCTGAGCTGATATATGACTGCATAAATCTTCCCTCTTGTCCAATCAGGCTGAGTCCTGGCTTCAAACCCCCCTAAATAAAAGATGTTACTGGAGCCGTGGCATTCAGGAGTCCAAGCTGCAGCTGGGGGTGAGAGAACAGCTTCTGATGGTCATGCAGCAGGTTAATACGGCTTAAATGTCACAGAGGTGTGTTTGTAGGAGATTCAAATGCTCCTCGTGTTTCCTCTGTGCTCCTGGGTGAAACATAGCAGCTCTGCAGGAAGAACTGAGTCCTTCTTCACAATAAAAGACCCGTCGCTGTGCAGCAGCATGGCTGGGATTAAACGGGCTGACCACCGGTTGTATTCTTGTTTTTCTGTGTCTAGATTCAGCCCTGGACAGCTGACAGAAGAATAAAATGATCTGTAATAAACTCACGTAACCTTAAATGACCCGGTGGGGTCTGGTCAGCTCTCAGACTTCTGACTCCTGAATACATGGATATCTACAGAAGTTCATAGTGGACTCATTTGATCCTGCAGGTGCTGCACAAACCCAAACCATCAGCTCTCCACCACTGTGCTGAAGGCTGGAGCCAGCTGCATTCTGGGTAAGCATCTCTTCTCTGGCCTCAAATGTTTATTTGTTCAGCTGAAACTTTTTAACTCTTCCTAACTGCATGTTAAACTGTCCTGTCATGAACTATAACCTTTAACCAGTCACCCGAGTCCTGCGGAGTCTGTTTATTGGATCATTTATCTGATTTCTGCACATTCTAAAGAGGTTTCTTCTCAAACATCCTCCACGGTGCCTTTGAGCCTCTCAGCGTTGAAAGGATCTTTTTCGTAACATTTTCTGATGTCCTACAATATGAAATGTAAAAGAAAGGAAATGTTTTAAATATATTTTTGTTTTAACTTAGACATCAGGGATGAATCAGCACAAACCGGCTATAAAAACCTTGTTATAAAACATCGAGTAGTGGGGTGACCTATTAAAACGTTGTTACAGACTGACCTGAGAAGGTTGGAGCCACTGCTGCTGCCCTTTAAGATGCCACCAATTCCTAATTAATGTTTTTGTTGGAAAGTTCAGAGTCTGAAGCTAAAACCGGGAGAAGAAAAGCCGACTAAACTTCAGACACGTACCTTTCCTTTGACACGAACCCTGGCGAATGTCGGCTGAACGTCTACGTCCATCAGGGAGGTGTCCATGTGTCTGTGATGAGAAGGAGGACGAGGAGGAGGAGAAAGTCCTGGTCAGTTTCCACTGGAGAGAATAATGCTCATGTTTCTATACTGAGGTCTGTCAGATTTCTCACCAACATCACAGAAACAAGATCTGTCTGAAGTTTATCTGATTTATTGTGGAAAATCTCAATGCAGAAAAAGAACAGATGCACAGAAATAAGAGGAAACACAGAAAGCAGGAGAATATTCTTGAATTGTTTCCATTCAAGCGGCTAACCCTTCAGAAATACAAGCTTTAAATCTTTGATGAGTGTGGGCGACGGTGGCACAGTAGTTAAGTGCTCGCCCCGTAATTGGAAGGTTGCAGGTTCGAGCCCTGCTCAATCTGTCGCTGTCGTTGTGTCCTTGGGCAAGACACTTAACCTACCTTGCCTGCTGGTGGTGGTCGGAGGGTCCGGTGGTGCCTGTGCTCGGCAGCCTCGCCGCTGTCAGTGTGCCCCAGCACAGCTGTGGCTACATCGTAGTGACTTAATGCAGTTTGCTGGGTTCCTTATATATGAGACAGTTTACTGATTGGCTTAATGAACTGACCTGTAATGGAATGTTTACTATGTGAAGTGCCTTGAGACGACTATTGTCGTGATTTGGCGCTTTATAAATAAACTTGAATTGAATTGAATTGACATGAACATCAGGTGAAGATCATCTAACAAGAAGCTAAATAAAAAAATTTCTGTTTCCTGTTCTGATGTAAATAAAAGTCCATTTAAAACGTGTTGACGAAACAAAAATCAGATGAAACATGCATCAGTTTATCTTTTTGCCTTTCATAATTATTATGATTATTAATGCACCACACTGATATTTTCATCCATCCACAGACATTACTGAAAGGGAAGCTGCTGCTTTACGGTCCTACCTGTAAACGGCCAGGTCCAGAATGATCCTGTTGTTGTCTTCGTCTTCTGTCAGAGAAAAGTCCAGCCTGAAAAAACAGGTAGAAATAAACCTATACTAAAGAAACCGTAGAACCAGGTGTGATAAAAGTGAAAAGATTTTCACAATAAAATACGTCTGGAATAAAACTATAAAATCAGAGATTAGACTTGAAGATCCTTATTTTTATTGTGAAATAACTAATAAACAAATCAGCTTCAGGCTGAATGACCCTAAACAGCTCCCACCTCCTTTAAACTGAAGGCTCAGCCACAGCAGCTCGGGTCAGTAAATACTTTCTGTTGTAAAACATCAGACATCAATCAGCAGGATGGACTTTATGAGACGTTTACTGAAGGATAGCCATGTCTCTGTCCTGGTATCTGCTCACATCACAGCTCTGAATATGAACTTGTTTTAAAAGCAGCAGATCTTACATGTTTGAGGTCCCATAACACACCTGAAAACCTCTAATCTACAGCCTCCACAATTTCTGAACTCTTTGTTATGAGCAGATCGTCAGAGAGTTGAGGTGTGGACGTGCTTTAAGTTTGAAATGTAACTTTTGTTTTGTTTTGATCTTCAAGGTAAAGACAAAGTTAGGAGAACGTGAATTAATAAGTCTGGAATGAAGAGAAAGATGTAAGAAAATACATTTATCTAAAGGCTTTTAAAACTCTCGGGTCTTACTTGGGCTCGTTGACATTCAGAACGCGTCCTTCCGCTGTGATCAGTGTCTTTGGGGACTTCGGCTTCCTCTCTTTGTCTCTGCAAACAGACGGGACAACGTGAGGACAAACTGCTTTCTCTGGGACAACAAGTGTAAGAGGTGAAGGAGAGACGTCCTCAGCATCAGGAGCACCATAAACAGAAGCTACAGAAACTCAGCGCTGATGTTTTATCTCCACTGAGGCACAAACGTGTTACTAATATTTAGCTTCTTCTAGCTGAGACGCGCTCTGCTTTCTCCTTCCTGTGGGTGGTCCCAAGCCAAGGTGGGCGGGGCCATGAATACTAATCTGTCCTGTGACGTACAAGGGACTGGCCTTTTCTGACCGTGTCATTGTTTTTCCTATCCATGGCTAATGCAAGCGATGGGAGATGAAGAACACTTTCACTTATTCCCCATGGCTGTTTGCCATAGCAGCTTTGTGCATTTAAACCAAATCTACTCACAACTCAGAGTCAAAAGGTTTATTTTACAAGCTGCAGCACAGAATCGCTCTGTCAGCTGCAGAAACACATGTAGAGAACCCACGGCTCACATCCATCCATCCATTAGACCCACTGAGCAGCAGATGACCGTGTCGGCGGTTTGAGCGGGTGAGTGTTTTAGCGCTCTGCAGAGGACCAGCTGTTACGACCTCTGCAGCCGTACATCAGCTGTAGAAAGTGAAATGGACCAGTTAGCATGAAGTGCCGTTAATGTGCTGAACCCAAAGGTGCCGAGTTCATGCTTCATTAGAGTGTGACGCAGTGGAGACCACAAACGGGTTTAAGTGATGCCGCAGAGCAGATTAAGAGTCACCTCTTGGTTAATGTGGCTGCTGAAATCATCAGAGTTAAGGTCTGTCAGTCCAGAGCAGAAATGGTACAAGTCATCAGCATCTTTAGATTCCTCTGAATCAGTCTCAAAGTTTAGATCAGCCTAATCTAATCCAGTCTAATCTAATCTAATCTCATTTAATCTAATCTAGTCTCATCTAGTCTTATCTAATCTAATCTAGCCTAATCTAGTCTAGTCTCATTTAATCTAATCTAGTCTCATCTAGTCTCATCTAATCTAATCTTGTCTCATCTAATCTAGTCTAATCTAATCTAATCATCTAATCTAATCATCTAATCTCATCTCATCTAGTCTAATCTAATCTAGTCTCATCTAGTCTAATCTAGTCCCATGTAACGTGATGGAGGAGCCATTTCTATCCTCTAACAACTGTTCCCTTTTGACACAGTGCCAGAGTGCATGAAACAGCCTCAAGGTCATGCACTCGCTTCTAAACTGTTCACGTTCCAGCATGAAGACAGAAGAAAGAAGAATGAACTCTTTTCTTTTAATTAATCAAAGAACTCTATTTTAGTAAAGCTAATCCATCAAAATGTTAGTCAATAATAAGATGTGACCAACCTGTGAAATCAAAATATGAATTACTTTATTATGATTCTATAGAAATAATAAGTAGTGTGACTTTAAGGATTCCAACAAGACTCATTTCACGTAGTGTCAAAAAGACATAACACATTACTTTCACTGATCCAATCAGAATCTTACAGATCTGACGGAGGCGTGCCTCTGACGGTGTTTGGTAATTTTCATTCGACAATAAACCATAACATCCGAGGTATAAAACTATGCCACGTCAGCTCTAACGCCAGTTCAAAAGCGTTCCAGAGCAAGCGTCGGAGTGGCCAATCCGACCTTTAACTCTTCAACCGAAAGAACCTCGACAAGCTGAAAACTCCAGTCGCTATAACAACCAGCGGCAACAACAGCTCCTTTCAGAATAAAAGCTCCACAGACCCAGGCTGAGTCTGAACAGACGCCAATAAAAGAGTCGTGTGCCGGAGGTAACTCAAGACGGGTCTGGTCGGAACCGCGGCTTCTCCTACCAGCTCGGTGTCCAGAGAGGGTCCGATGGACCTCGGCATTCCTGATCTACAAGAGGACTTCCACAAGGCAGGTAGACCCGACGTGATGGTGTCTCATGCGGTTCTGAAACTAACCCAAGCTTATTTCAAAACAACATCTTCAGTTCCCGTCAGAACTAATCGCTTCTTCGGATTTGCTGGTTCTGATTACATCACACGTCATCCATTCACTGTCTCATCCATTTTTAGTTACATTATACATTTAATTTAAAGTAAGTCTAGTTTAATTGTTAGTAATAAAATTCTTAACTTTTAAACTTGACTCCCTCTATTCTGTTGTCTCTGAGTGTTGTCTCTGAGTGTTGTCTCTGAGTGAATACAAAACGGTTACATAATCTCTGCATTAAAAAGATCCAATCTTCTGGTTTAAATAACCCCTGATCCGTGAGGTGGATTTTATATTTACTATGAAATACCATGCCTTATGGCTCATTAAATAAAATGTAAGAACATCAAATTTTCCTTACACCCATCTAGTCTAATCTAATCTAATCTAATATAATATAATATAATCTAGTCCCATCTAATCTAATCTAATCTAGTCTCATCTAATCTAAAATAATCTAATCTAGTCTAGTCTCATCTAGTCTATTCTAGTCTAATCTAATCTAGTCTAGTCTCATCTAGTCTAATCTAATCTAATCTAATCTAATCTAGTCTAGTCTAGTCTAATCCAATCTAATCTAGTTTTATCTAGTCTAATCTAATCTTGTCTAATCTAATACATTTTCCTGTTAGAAGCTCTGAGACTAAATTTAATGTTTAAAACTGAAATTTTATAAAGTTAATCCCTCAAAAGGATCATCTGCAGCTTGATCATTTGTTATGATGATGTCACACAGCTGTTTTGGTTCCTGAAGTCAACATTTTGCATAATCCGAAGTTCCAAACGGTTTCAAATGAAGACAACTAGACTTCTTTTGTGTACTGAAGACGTTGAGAACCAAAAAAGTCCAACTGCCTTCATTTGAACCCTTTTGGAATACCATGACCTGGATTCTCAACTCGACTCAAACTTTATTTATATAGCACTTTACAGACAAAACCATGCCACCGAAGTGCTTCACGGACACGGGTGAAATAGAACACAAAAACTCAATAAAATTACACAAGCAAATAAAACCATACAATGAGAGAGAAAAGCATCTCTAATCACCCCACAGAGTTAAAAGCCAGTTTGTAAATATGGGACTGCAGCTTAGATTTTAAAACTGCTACAGATGAGGACTGCCGAATATGTAGTGGAAGCTCATTCCAGAGTTTTGGAGCTGCCACTGAAAAAGCTCTGTCACCATGCATCTTCAGCCATGACCTGGAGGCCACGAGCAAGGACAGGTCTTCTGAACTTTCTTCTTAGCTGCAGCATGTCTGCCAAATATGCTGGAGCCAAACCATTAAGAGCTTTATAAGCCAAAGAAAGAACTTTAAAACAAATCCTAAAAAAGACAAATAGCCAATGTAGATCTGCCAACATTAGTGTAGCATGTTCAAACATTCACCTGCCATCCAGAAATCTCCCAGCAGCATTCTGGACAAGCTGCAGACGACCTAAGGCACTCTGACTCACTCCGATGAGGACAGAGTTGCAGTAGTCCAGATCACATCTAGACAAGAATGGTTTAATCTTAGCCAAGCGTCTCAGAAGATAAAAGAAAGATGCTTCAACCCTATTTATGTCACCTCTAAAACAAAAGTCTTTGTCAATCTTCACATCCAAATTTACAACAGAATCCCTCATGTGGGGGGTTGAATCACTACAGTCCACCATGGAGGTATCGGTGTGATGACTGGGACCAAAAAGCACTGCTTTTGTTTTCCGTTCATTGATGCACAAGCAGTCCTCTGCCATTTATGTTTAAACTTCAGTCAGACAATCTAAAACCTTTGAGATTGGTCAACCACCAAACCCATCCAAAGGAGCTGACAGTCATCAGCATACTGTCACGTTGTGAGTCAGGAGGAGGTTTGGACCCAAAATGCAGACACCCAGAACAACATGAGGCAGGAGTGGATGTAAATGAAAACATTCCTTTATTAGGAAGGAGAACCAAAAATTCCAAAAGGGCAGGAAGCCAAAAACCAATGTCCTGAAACCCTGGAGAACGAAAGCTCACTTCTAGCACAAAACCTAGAGACCTAGTGACGAGGAACAAAACAACGCTGGCACCAAACAATGAACCGACAAAAGGGTTTTATACACTGGGGAGGATGAGAGGAAGATGAACTGCAGGTGTGTGGGGAGAGAGAGACCAGGTGAACTGAGTTACTAATCAGGGAGGAAACTAACATGACCTAAGAATAAAACCTAAAGACAAGAAGAGCAGGAAACATAACTTAATAATCTAAGGGGGCGGGGAGAAAAACCTCAAACACCGATGGGAAAAACACACTAAAGAGACTAATAATATGAACAGCTGTAGCTAAAGGAAAATGACCTAAGAGAAAAACATGAAGACCAGAAGGGCAGCAAACATAACTAATATTCTAAGGGGGGAGCTGAAACTAAAGGAAAAACACTACAGAAAGAAAAACTACAGGGGCGTGACTAAAGGGGGCCACGGGAGCAAAGGAACTGGGAGGGGGATATCTGAGGAGGGAAACCTAAAGGGCTGAAGATCTGGGGAAAAATGGAGAACACCAGGAGACACATGAGGAAGATGCAGACAAGTACACATGAGGGCGCTAGGAGACACAAAAGGAGAACCTAGAGAGGGATGGAGAACACAAGGAGACACATGAGGGGAGACGCAGACCATGACACATAAAGGTGAAAAGCACACAGGTGAAAATTCCGTAGGATATTACCCAAAGGCAGAATCCATAAAACAGCAGGTGTCCCAGTGTTGAACCCTGTGGAACACCCCAGGGGGGATGGGAGAAATCTGAAGAAAAACCACCCATCTGCACACACACCATTGTGTTTGAGAGATAGGACGGAAACCAGTTAAAAGCCATTCCAGTAATTCCAACATAATGCTCAAGACGATGAAACAACACCTCTTGGTCCACTGTATCAAAGGCTGCAGTCAAATCCGACAGAACAAGCAGCACAATCCTTCCGTCATCGGTTGCAAGAAGAATATTATTGAAGACCTTTAGCAAGGCTGTCTCAGTACTGT